AGGCTTTTGTACTACTTTTAGCTACTATAGAACCTAATTACAACTTGAGTTTTGCATTGTTATAGCAGTTACAAAGTCTACTTTTCTTGTACTGTTCTTGTAGTTGCAAAACTTAATCACTAAATATAATATTCTTTACTATTTATAGCAACTATAAAGTCTAAGTGTGGTAGATTATACTCCCAACCTGAATTATAAAAATTTTTAGGCTAGTTGGCCCAAATTATGATTTAATTTTATATTAATTAATATAAAGTTTTTTGAAGTTTAGTAGAGTTTAGAACTTTATTAAAATTAGAAAAAAAAGAGATTTAATATTTTTTATATACTGTGTATACTGTAGCTTATATAGCATAATTTTTTACAATTAGTTTGATTAAAAAATGATAATAGAAAATTAATGTAAAAATAATTAAACAAGATCGAGAATTCTTTTGTTTTACTGTAATGACTATTATATAGCTTTGATCTTATTAATTTAGCAATAGTATTTTAGGTATTATTACTTGTTATCTGAAGCAAATTAAAGAATACTGTTTTATTAAAGACTATATAGTAATTAGAGTTGCAATTATACTACTGTAGTACAGTATAATAGAAAATAGTAGGTATAATACTGTATTTAGTATAGCTATTTTTATAAGAGAATATTTATTTAATTGGCTGATATAGTGCAAACATTTAGTTATATCACAAAATAATTGCTTACAGTAAAAGTTTAATAACTTTTTAAAAAATAATTTTTTTAAAAAAAACTTTCTATTGTCATGTTTTTTGAGACCTATAGAATAAAATTATAGAGTTTTTTTAAAAAAAACCTTATTAAAAAGTTATTTTAATTTAAAATTTTATAGTAAAATTAAAAAATTTAGCACTTTGTTTTATTAATAAGCACCAAAATTTCAGCACTTTGTTTTATTAATTAGCGCCAAAATTTCAGCATTTGTATTATATATTTTGAATTTTAATTTAATAAAATTTTTTTTTTCGTTTTTTTTTTTATTCACACTCTTTAAAATTTCAGCGCTATATATATAATTTTCTATATAATTTTTAAAATTCAGCACCATTTATATATAATTTAAAATTCAGCGCTATGACGTCTTTAGATATCCCGCACCATATAAATTAATTCCTTGAGTAACTTATTTATACACATTAAAATACTTTTTGAGAATGTAATGTTTTACTAATACAAAATTATCACAAAAGCTATTTTTTGCTTCGTTAGAATATCTTATATAAAAATATTTTTGATTGGTATAATTCTGTAATTTTGATACAAATATGCCAGCCAAGAATTTTATTATGTCTATTGTTAATTGTATACTATATTTTTGAAATAAGCTTGGCCAGAGCTTGTAATTGGGTAAAAACAAATTTTATAATAGTTTAGGATTTTTCCGGCAAGTATCATACAGTAATATACAGTATAACCTCTCCTCGTGGCATTCACAACTATCAAAAAATATATATTGATCAATCGTAATTTTGGTTTTTTTTTTATTAAAAAAATATTAATCGCTTAAACAAATTTACCGAAAATTCAAATTAGGAAAATGTTTTTAAATTATATAACAAATAATAAGTAAAATTTGTAATTCTGATTACCTTAATGACATATAAAAGACATAAAAGACGAAATTAAAAAAAGTAAACAATTTTGTTGATCAACTTAATGCAAGTATATATGCTAGATAAATGACATCGTTTTGAATTAATAATATTTCGAACGGGGTTAAACAGGTAGGAAGCAGGTTTTAAGCATCTAATTGGTCAATTTAAAATTTTGGAAATGAAACCTCGACGATCTAACAAGAGGGAACCTTAAAATCTATAACGGCCTATCCGATTTCCCGATTCACACATATTATATAAAACGCGTAAGATGGAAATATTTATAAAGTTAGAAGAACAGGTTTCTTTCATATTATAGAAAAAAAATGGTTTTAGGTACACAAAAAGAAATGCACTTTGTTGTTTTGGTTCATGGGTGAGTATTATTATGAAACATAGGTTTACGATTAATTTGTTAACTAAGATATTATTTCTTATTCAGACTTTGGGGAAATCCCGGTCATATGCAATATCTCATGGATCAATTAATAGCGAAATATAAAGATAAAATTCACATCGTATGTGTACAAGATCGTCTTTTATTCCACCCTCGGATTTTGTAATTTACATTCTTTTTATTTAGCTGAACGCTAAACATAATACATCAGATTATACATATGATGGCATTGATGTTTGTGGTGAAAGACTTGTCAAAGAGGTATGCAAAAGATATTACTTATTTAGTTTCTCTTCACTACTAATATGTTAAATGTTTTACAATTAAAGATAAACGAAGAGGTTAAATATATCAATGACAAAAATCTTTATAAAATCTCAAAAATTTCATTTGTTGGATATTCTCTTGGTGGTTTGATAGCAAGATATGCCATTGGTGTACTTTATAACCAAGGATTTTTCAACGAAATTGAACCAACAGTATGTCATTTCCCATTATTAAATAAATATAAAATTAAATTTACTATTTCAATAATTCAGAAAATCTTTTTTTAATTCTAATTTACAGTTTTTTACGACAATCGCTACACCACATTTAGGCATTCGGCGAGATGAAAATAAATTTGTAGTAAAAATAGTCGGTTGGGTATCATCCAATCTCATATCAAAAACAGGTATATATATATATATATATATATGTATATGTAATTATTTTTTTAAATTCTTGTATTTAAAATTCAAATAACTATTTTAATAAACATAAAGGAGAACAACTAAATTATAAGGATAGATTTGATGGAGATGAGCCGATTCTCTCTGTTATGTCGAGTCCTGGTAGGCACTTAAATTTTAACGTCTTATGTTACAAATATTAAATCAATAATCTTACAAATCTTGTTTCGATATACCTATTATCAATATAGAAAAGGCTTTCTATAAAGCCCTTACTGCATTCAAATACAGGAAGTTGTACGCAAATACCAGGAATGATAGAACAGTGCCTTTCTGGACTGCCGCAATAGCTGATGTTGATCCATTCGTAGATTTGAAAAAAATAACCATGTATGTTTTATCAAATAATTAATATACATGATATATATAATGTTGATAAATTTCATGTTTTCTTTTTAGTGAGAAAAATGAAAAATTTGGAACTCTTATAAAATCAATATCGAAGCAAGACGCCATCCCTGTCAAAGTCCCCTTGACACAAAAAATAGCTAATGTAGCCAAGAGTATTCTATATTGCTTATTGATTGGCACTTTATTACCTTTATGGATAATAATAGTGTTAAGCACTCTAACAATTCAAGGTCTAATATCAAGAAGAAGAGTAGCAAAAATTTTGGCGGCAAGAAGAGTAAAAAACTCTAATTGGAACATAACATCAACTCCAACGAGATCTAATGTTATTGTATCTAATATTGAGGAAGATGCGGCAGAAACAGTAATTAATATCCAAAATATTCTTACCCATAGTATATCTCCATCACCGACAAAGCAAAGCCCTTCCAATAAAATAGTTGAATCCAGCACAAATACTATTATGATGACAGAGTTTACTACATCATCGCTTTTCCCACGAGTTCCAATATGTGGTGCACAGAACATAAGTTTCACGTACTTGAATATGCTGGGATGGGAAAAATTTGTTGTGATTATTGATTCTTTGAATTCTCATGCATCGATTATTATGAGGAATAAGCGTTTCGGAGAAAAGGGAAAAGAAGTTATAAGACATTTTATTGAAGAAGTTTTCATACCTTGAGCATTTATTAATAAACGACATTTCAAATATTTTATTTCAAGACGTTAGAATTTATTATACTTTGCTCTTGTTTTTTAGTTACTACGACTTCTAAAGTCATTCACTGAGATTATTTAATAAAATCGTGATTGTAATAAAAGATGCTGGTGAAATAAAATTAGAGTGGTGAACTAACTACACCACCATTGGTGAAATTGGTGTTGAATTGGTGAAATTAATTTCACCAGCATCTCTAAATTGTAACTTTCCAATCTCATTTATGTTTCGCTTAGGAAATGAACCAATTGAATGTTTGTAACTATTAAGTTACAACTTCTCTATGGTAATTTATATAATCAAAAGTTCTTGAAGTTGCAATGCAAATATAATCTGAAGAAATAATAATAAAAAATTATCATAATGCTATTTTTAAAGTGTTTGTGTTTCAAATTTATAAAATTTGATGACACAATTAAAATCGGTAGATTCCTTTGAAATATTAATATGAATGCAATGAAATTTACCCATATATAGATTTGGCGGTTATCAAAACCAATTACGTACATACATTATCACCATTCAAGCGAACGAAATTTGCGAAAAAGAAACGTGCTTCTCTCTGGAACCTGTTATGCCACTTGTATGACATTTAATTTCCACCAATCATTGCTTTGCTACATAGAGCGTGAATAAATTAAAAATTCATGCTTCAACTAAACTTTTTTCGGTTGATTATAGTAAAACTATTTTTCTACTGGTTCTCCAGGCTATTTTAGAACTCTGTTCGACTGTTTACCCATATGTGAACACTGTGCGGCTGTACTCATTCTGTAACATTGGAAGTTGATCCTTTAACCTTTACTCTTGGGAACAAAAGTTTTACGTGACCGTAATAAATAAGAGAAGCAGAAATAAAAAAAAAAACCATATATTTTTTTTTTTCTTTCTTTTTTTTTCTTTTTTCTTTTCTTTTTTTTTTTTTTTTTTACGACTTTTATACTTCCGAGTGTTCACTATTGGACAAAAAAAAAAATATAGCAGCTGTGATGCAGCATGAATCAATTGTCTCAATCCGTGATTGAAGTTCCCGAACAGTTTCACCTGGTTGACATTAATCATTTGATGCACATGATCGGTTTGTTGCTATTTCATTTAACATGTTTTCACTATACTATTATTGTATCCACGTATTATCTAATATTAATTCATTATCTTTTTGAAAATCCTTGATATAGCTGATATGTTATGCCGTTTAATTGCACATAATGACCAAATTCCTTTAACACCTTCCAACGTAACTCGATTTCATTCTAGAGCAACGCCATCCATTACAGTATCTGATTATCTTCGTCGTATAGTAAAATATACATCTTTGGAAAGGTCTTGTCTTTTGATACTTCTTTTGTACATAGACCGAGTATGTGAAAATAACGCGTTCACTATAACATCACTGACCGTACATCGATTCATTATTGCTGCGGTCACAGTATCATCCAAAGCATTGTGCGATTCTTATTGTACAAATACACATTATGCAAGAGTTGGGGGAATATCTACCCAGGAGCTAAATACTCTAGAACTGGAATTCTTAAAACTCATCGGTTGGCAGTTGATCTGCACTAGTGAGACATTACAACAATACTATGTCAACCTAGTTAAACAAAATTCATTATATCGAAGGGCTGTTACCACTGATTCTGACAGCTATGGAACATCGATAATGATGGATGTGATTAGTGATCCTGGCCAATAACGAAAAAAAAATCTACTAAGCTAATTTCGGCTTTTCAAAATCGGCTGATCGATTTATTGTAAGATAATAATTCACGCATAAGCCTTTGATTATTACAAAAGGTTGTTTTGTGTATATATTCAGTCATATTTTCTTGTGTAACATCAAATATACTTTATATTATTAGAGATAGCGATGTACTCAGATAATGGATTTAGATCAATGAGAAATGATACAATATTTTAATTAGCATTAAGGTTTTTAATTAGCGTTAATACGGTGTTATTGACAGAAATCTGGAACTCTCACTAGACTTTTAGATTTTTCAATTTTCCAATAAAAAGAATAATCGCATGAGTCTTTTGATTAGATCCGCCTAAGATTCCGGCAGTTCAAGATTTCCAACATAGTACTCGATAATTATTCAATCCCAAGGCTTTTTAGATCAAAAAAAAAAAAAGGTTATTTATTACTGGACTTGTTTTTTGGTTGCTAAATTTCTTTTATGTACGGAATTAGATTTAAAAAGAAGTGGGGATTAAACGGATTAAACATAATCTTGTGGTATAGACAAAGTTCAACTACCCTTAAACATTGGGAAGACCATAATTAATTATATACAGATTTCATTTTTCTTTTTGATGGATTTAAGGCTTGTTTTTATTCGGACTAAGCTATAGATAAAGTCTTTACCACTTGCTATTTGTCACATTATTTTACTTTTTTGTTTGTACATATTAATTACATTTTTGTATTTGTAATTATTTTCTGTATATTTACATTAGACAAAAGATAAGCGTATTCTATCCGTAGGAAATGACTCAGCAAACTTTTTTAAATTAGTATTTTTGCATTTATTTTGTCGCGTCCTAATAGAATCACAGGATAAAATGTAACGTAAAAATCAAATTTTAACTTTTCGAAAAAAAAAAAAAAACCTTTATTAAATTTTTTTAGCGCCAGTTGATTGTTTTACTTAAATATTCTAATTAGTTATATAAGCTGGTATTAGGTATAGCACAGGCTATAATCCTATTAGTAAAATTTGCCAAGAACATTATATAGTATAATTTGAAACATTTATTATTAGTTTTGTTGTACTATTCTTTATATACTACGTATATTACAAAATTAATTTTTTAAAATTACTTCATTATAAATAATATATTATAACAAGTTTTAATAAAAAAAATTGTATACAGTCAACTCTCTTTATCTTTTAAACCGTATAGCATACAAATTGTATACTACGTAAAATTTTTTTTAAACCCCATTTTTGATAATTATGTTGGATTTTATAAAGCTTTACTCAATTTTTATATGGATTGATACGTAGTATTTTTATTTTGTCATGTTTAGATTCATGTGCCTATGTTTAACAAAAAGCATAGGCATAAAATCTTAGGCATGGGTATAGGCACAGACAAAGATTCAGCATGGGTATTAGTACAGGCACAAAAATTCGGCATGGGTTGGAACGAGCATGGGACGAATACAAAAATTTGGCAGCATAAATACAAAAATGACCAAGAACTTTTATAATTATGTAAAATACTAGTTGGCACTTTAATGTTTTGGCATTTTGTGCTCAGTGTTTAAAGTTGGCTTGCACAAGATACACATGTGTAAGAGATTTTTTTAACGCGCAAGTATCTTGTAAAAAATTTATGCAAATATATAAGTAAAATTTTTTTAAAAAGATGCACAAAATTTATATAATATATTCAGTATAGTTTATTTTTTGCAAAAACTATATTTATGCAATTAAAAAAATTTTTTTTCTTGCAACTATGCAAGTAAAAAAAATTTTTTATTTGCAATTGTGCAAGTTATTTTAGTTTGAATTTTAAACACTGCTTGTGCTTATGTTTTAATAGCGTTTAATTTTTATTTTTTTTTCCTTATAAGCAGTCCTGCCTTTATTATAAAAGGTTTCAGTAATAGGCTACATTCTAGAAATTTATATAAAATTTATATAAAATTTTTTCTTCTTGTACAATAAAGACTCATCCAGTTACCAAAGTACCTACCGGTATATGCGATCTGCTACAGCAATAATACTTTTTTTTTATTGGAGTTTTAACTTACTAGAACTATATTTACTGATTCACTAAAAAGCCTATTGTTAGCTTTGTCAAAACTGCCTTTTTTTAAATTTTTTTTTTACAAAGAGCTAAAGAATAAAAATAAGACTAACTAAAAAAAAATTTACCAAAAAGACAAAAAAAAAAAAAACAAAAAACAAAAAAAAAAACAAAATAATACAAACAAATCTATATTTAGCTACTATGAAAATTATATAATACTTGACTTTAATTTAATGCATTATATATATATTTTCATTTGGGATAAAATAAAACCTGCTAGAATTTTTTTTAATTCCAAATATATATAGTATCTGTTTTGTATTATTTCTAATCAAGGTTTATTTTTGAGTATACCTGTTCTTAATTTGGAATTGGTAGATATTGTAAATCTTATTGAAAAGAGTATATTAAATTTTTTACTTTTTGGCAAAAAATTTAAAAAAAAAAATATATAGCAAGAATATAGTAAAGAGTTTTTGCAATTAAGTACTTTTAAATTTTCAAAAAAGTGTAATAAAAATTCATTTGTTGTTTTTTTCTAAAACCAAATACAAAAAACTTTGTTGATAAAAGTTTTTTTTTGTCAAAATTTTATAAACAAAAGTATTATTTTTTGCCAATTATCTTGTATATTAATGCTTTTGGTTTATATATCAAATATATAAAAAAATTTTTTAAAGATAAAAACAAGAGAAACTCTTAGTTAATCTTTATAAAAACTATTATTTTGTATTACTTCTTCATTTGTTTTTAATAAAATTTTGGTTTTGTTTATAAAAAAATTTGGTATATTAATTTAATAGCATTTAATATTATAATTTATATTTATATTTTAAATATATTTATTAATTTTGTATTTATTAATATAAGTATAATATACACTAATTTTTTTATCAACTCTTCCCGACGATTACTTGTACCCAATTTTCTTACAAACGAAAAACAAAAATTTGCTGGAGTTAGTTGAAGAAGCATTATAAAGTAATGGTTTTTACAAAGGTCAACCAAGAGTACATTCTTCTCTGGTTCTCTTGGGGACTCCTAGGTATATT